GGTGGTGGTGATGATGATGATGATGATGATTACTGTTGTTGCCGTTGTGTGTGGTATCATCTTGTCAGAGGGTAACTATGTGTCTAATTACATAGTCCCCTCTGGATTCTACGAGTAAAAAAGGTACTGTAGTAGAGTTATCTATACGCATTCGAGACGTTTCGTTTAGATGGCGAGGATTTTGCGGATATGTGCAGTTCAGCACAAAGGAATCTTTTGCAGCTCTGAGATGCTGATGAGTCCAAGAATTTTACTCACACGATTTTTGGTACCGTTCTTCATTCATAACCACTGCATCTATCATAACAGAGATAATCATAGTTTTAAGTTTCTATACTTTTGTTATTTCGATTTGACAGATTTTGAAATTCTTTTTTAAAAACATTGGAATCATGTGATGAAGTCATATCAATTAGTTGGCAGGTTCCTTATTGGAAACCTTTTTTTATGACTATGGTTTATTTTCATCAATTTTCCTGTCTGTCAGGATTGGGAAATTTTCCAGTATAGCCACTTCATCACCATTTGGAACATCATTCGGGTAGTATTTCTACCATATATCCGAAACTGCAGTACCATTGTTCGGACAGCCATGCCAATGAATATATTGTGCTAGCTTGCTATGTCTAATAATGTATTCTTTCTCAATAAGGACTGGGCACCCTGATAAATAATTTTAAATAGCCTGTAGATTCTTGATAAGCCGTAGAAAAAATATATATCATTTTTTTATGTTTCAGTAAATACTAGACAATTTCTTCACAAATGAAGAAGTGACTTGCGGTAACAGAAATCCGATTCTATAGAAGCATGTTGTGAATACCATGAACTGTGCATGTGAGAGACAAGGAAGTTTTAGAGAAAAAATGGAAACAAAAAGTACACGTTTGCTTAGAATCAAAAAGAAACAGTTGAAATTTCTGGAAAACATAAAAACGATGTAGACTTGGAGAATTTGACACTCACAGGGCATATTGAAGGCAAGAGGCGCCGAGTGAAACGTCGAGTAACCTATCTAATGAACTTGTGTAAATGGATGACAGAACAGGAATTGCTAAAGACAGTAAGGGGACAAACATTGCTTAAAACCAAAGAAGAGCCATGATTGCTCAAATTCTCAAGCGATAAGGTACTTAAAAAAGATCATAATGACCAGTAAATGCCTTAGCTGGATACGCACAGTGATAAAAAAAAATCAAACACGTTCCTTTCCGTTATTTATTGATTATAATTTAATTTAACAGAAACGGAGTCCGCTATGACAGATAACTCGCGTCAAGTCACATGTTCCGTAAGTAATTGGGGGTCAAAGAATCCCACACGTGCACTGCAAAGCAGTGTTGGTATGTCACGGGAAAGATAGATTGTCAGGGCTTATCTCGTTTCAATTAACAGTGATATCTGGAGATTCTTGGCAAAGTTCGAAGAAGTATCTTTAGGTAATCCTCTTTCATGGTGGAGGGTGCTATCAGCATTCAAATATGCGATCTCATATTTCAAAGGGTAATATCTGGAGATACTTGGCAAAATCCAAGGCAATATCTCTAAGATAATCTTCTTTCATGGTAGTGCGTGCTATCAGCATTCAAATTTTCGATCACATATTTCAAAGGTTATTATCTGGAGATTCTTGGCAAAATCCAAAGAAGTATCTCTAAGGTAAACCTCTACCATGATGGAGGATGCTATCAGCATTCAAATATGTGTTCTCATATTTCAAAGGTTAATATCTGGGGATACTTGGCAAAATGCAAAGAAGTATCTTTAAGCTAATCGATCTTGAACAAGGCATTTCTTCACTCACTTTCTCACCGACTCGACGTGGCTTCCCCTTATCTTTCTTACAAATATTTTCATGGAAATTGTTCTGATGAGCTATTTTCCTTGGTGCCCTAACGACATCAAGTTGAAGGCGTTACTAGTTTGGCAATTATGTCTCATCGTTTTACTGTTGCATTACCTAAATGCAACCGCCACTTCTACTCTAACAGATTTTTTTCTCATGCTTCTCAACTCTAAAACTCCCTTCCGATTTCATGCTTCCCTGATAACTACAATCTTCAAAAATTTAAGTGCAACATTAATCAGCATCTTCCCTCTACCTTTACTCCGTCCTCTCTACTAAAGTCTTCTTCTCTGTCACTCCCTATAAACCCCTGCGTTCTAGTGGCTTCGCTTTTTGATTGGGGGTGAGACAATTAAAACATATATATAATTTTCTTTACTGTTCACCCGGTGTCTCTTTTTGACGATGACCGATAAATCTATTATTCTTAGTTGTTCTGGTAAATTCTAGCCGACCTAATAACGGATTTCTAATGCACATTATCGTGAGCAAATTCAATTTTTTTTTCTGACATTTCATAGCATTTAAATGAATGTTTTAGGTGTCACACGATTAACACAGGGAGATAGCAAAAAAAAGTTCTTTTTAATAGTTCAACTTTTTGTTCTCGAAAATAGAGTGCACGTAAGCGACATCAGTTCACGCCAATATCTACTACCCCCCCCCCCTTTTTTTACGTTAAGGGAATGATCGGAACAAAAAATTTACCCTCGATTTTTCAAAAAACTTATATATATATATATATATATATATATATATATATATATATATATATATATATATATATATATATATATATTGGCTACTTAAATTGATGTGAAAAATTTCCGAATATGACACCATCCAAGCGACAACAGTTCCCGTTTAGTAGATATTTTTTTTTCGAATTACCGAACTATAAATTCTCCCGAGAACCTAAGGAAGTTTTCTCTGGCTGCACAATATAAGGCAGTTACTGTATTTCCAGACACATAAAAGGCAATTTAAAAGAAAAAATGGAATCTCTAAAGTCATCCTTCGTCTAACACCGCGATATCTGGATTATTTGAAGAAATTGCCCTTCATAACACCAGGATAAAATAATTTAAATTACTATGGTTTTTAATACCAAGTCCCTTCACTATGCTGGCGACGATGAACTCTTCAAAATTTCCTTTTCTTTATTGTCTGTGAATTGCCATGACTTCTTGTGAAAGACAGTGCAATAGCTCCCACTTGCCTTCTCCAATGTTCTAAATCGAGAGATTTCCTTCTCTTAGGCTGCTTGCCATCCAATGTCTACTATACCATTTAATCTCAAGCAGTAAGGAGGAGGAGCGACATGTAAATTCATACTTTTCCCAAGGACCATAGTGCGAAAGCGATAACAATTTTTTGTTTTTAAGCAAGGCGTGAAACCACTAGGATGCAGGGGGTTGCAGAAGATTTGGAGCAAGAACAGATAGGAGTGATAGAAGAAAAGATGAGGAGAAGGATAGTGGCTAGATCAAGGTAACTGGAGGTGTCGATTGACATTACATTTGATTAGTTGGAGATTATAGCTCTCCGGGAAACAGTAATTGGGAAGGATGTTCCACAGGCGAGAGGTGAGAGGTATGAAGATATTGGAGTAGAAGAGACGGCTACATTTAAAAGTTTCTACAGTGAAAGGGTGAGAGCGGGATGCCAGCCTCGTAGGGCGCTAGAATTCATGGAGTCTGGGAACCAGTGAAAGCAGCTCATCGGAACAATTACCATGAAAGTATTTGTAGAAAAGACAGGGAGAGGCGACGACGCGTCTGTGAGAGAGTGACTGTAGACGAGATGCCAGAACAGGGCCAATTATATTATATATCCGTCTCTGGATCTTGTCAAGAACTCCGAGGTAAACAGAAGGTGCCCCAGACCATATATGGCAGCAATACTCCATGCAAGGGCGAATGGTTGATTTGTATATTTGACTTATTTTAACAAATCTAAATCATGTTATGGATGGCAGAATGGAGGACGATGGATGAGAAAAGTAGCAAAGGAACAGGCATTGCAAAGTGCTACAGGAGATATGATGTTGTGGAGAGCCATAATCGCCCACGGGGTGAAGAGACACAGTACATAGAGGAATATATAAATATCGATGAATCATCTAAATAATCCTTACCAAATTCGTGTTAGACGTCAGCATTTAATTTGAAATTTAATTTGGAAAAGATGGAGGCGTTCCTCTGAGTGACAAAACAGTAACAAATCGAGTCAGCAGAAAAATTCGTAATCTTTCAGAAACTTTGAATTGTGGCACCTGTCGGTGATTTAAACCAAAGATCCTAAAAATAAAATAAAATGAACGGTGACCAGAACCATGAAATGAAACTGACTAAAAGAAACAAACAAATGACTAAATTGGACTAGTCATCTGTAAAAAAAAAAAAAAAAAAAAAAACAGAGCGAGAGAACAGTATCCTCAGAGAGACAGATATATCAGAAGAGACCGGGTGGTACAAATGCCCTCTTCGACGCTGACTATACCCCAGATATTATAGCAAAACCTATTGGCTAACTCCAATTCTATAATGTAAACATTGGCTTGCAATAATCTGACATCATGTAAACCTCCCTACTTCCTCTCAGCATGGCTTCAGGAGAGCGTCTCACTGCGCGTCCATGGGCTCACGCTCTCCACTGACTTGTGTTGGAACAACTACATTGAATCAATAGCTACATCTACCGCAAGGAAAGTTGGTTCTCTGTGTCGCGTCTGAATCCATTCTTCAAATCTACAGATCTACCATTCATCGTTGCATTGAATACTGTTGCAATATATAGTCTGGTGTCGCCACTGTTCATCTCGAGGTCCTCAACAAAATCCAAAGACGGATATGCAATGTGATACCGAAATGTAACCATCTTTTACTCCTACAGCTTCTTTTCTCGCACTTCCCGACAGTAGAACTCCCTTCCTCTTACTCGTTTCCTTGATAACTATGATCGTCAAAAATTTAAATGTAATGACAATCGACATCTTTCATCATGCCTTGATCTTGATCTCCGTCCTTCTCTTTAACCTTTCCTCAAAAACTCCTCTTTTCACTTTCTTTCGCTCTCTGTAACCGGCACTGCTAGCGGCACTCTCGCCTTGCTTTGGGTGAAATGCTTACAAAACAGATAGCTAGCTAGCTAGCTAGATAGATAGATAGATAGATAGATAGATAGATAGATAGATTTTATCTTTTCGTTATTTCGCCTAAACGCTGTTCCGCCATTCATTTAATCAAGCTCGTCAGATATGCTACCCACTGTTTTTCTCTGTCCCTCTTGCCCTCAATCTGTCCTGTGAGTATCAGATTTTCCAAGTCATTCTTCCTCTTTATGTGCTCCTGAAATTTCAACTGTCTCTTGCTGATGTTAAGTATAAATTTCCTTTTTGCTTCCAATCCCTCTAAAACCTCGTCGTTGCTCACATGGTATACCCAACATCCTTCTGTAGAACCACATTTCTGTTGTTCCAAGTCACTTCTTCGTCTTTGAGCAGATTGTCCAGCATTCGCTGCCATAAAGGAGGACTGATATTACATAATAGTTCAGTACTCTTTTTTTTTTGTTTCAAGTTTTTTTTTCTGTCTAGTTTGTTGCATAAAAATCTGACCATGAAAAATTAACATTATACTCGAGTATATAAGATAGATAGGTATGTAGATAGATACATACATACATAAATACATAGATATGAACAGATTGAGATAGATATGAGTACAGACAGATAGATAGATAGATAGATAGATAGATAGATAGATAGATAGATAGATAGATCACCGACTTTGCAAAATGGTTTTACAAAAACAATTTCGGATCTGAAAAAATATTCCATGAAAAACTAACTTTCATTTAAAGTTGGAAAACTTAGCTCCGGTTTCAAAAATCAATTAGAAATGAAATTCAATAGACAGTGGAAGATTACGAAATTCCTTATGAAAGCAATGATGACGATAATGATGATGACGATGATGATTACTGATTTCATCATCATCATCATCATCGTCTTCGTCATGGCTTCTATAGGTATTCTATTATAATTACTGTTATGTCCTGCCCATACGTTATAAATAATGAACTCTTCTGTTTCATCACGCGGAAAGAATAGAAGACACTACTCAGTTTCAAGGAGGAAATGAAAAGAAAGAAAGAAAGAAAGAAAGAAAGAAAGAAAGAAAGAAAGAAAGAAAGAAAGAACAGAAGGAAAAAAGAAAGAAAGAAAGAAAGAGGAACAGAAAGAAAGAAAAAAAGAAAGAAAGAAAGAAAGAAAAAAAAGGAAAGAAAGAAAGAAAAAAGGAAAAAAGAAAGAAAGAAAGAAAGAAAGAAAGAAAGAAAGAAAGAAAGAAAGAAAGAAAGGAATACTTTCAAATCGTTTCATTTGTACCCGGTTCTTAAAATAACGACGTGCGTTCATATATATGATTTTTATTACAATATTTTGTTAAAGTCGTCAAGCTCAGATATTTAACGATGTGGTAGGAGAATTGTAGGGATATTTTATTGCCGCCGAACTTATTCGGTCAGAAAATTCCAATAGAGAAGCCGTGAAATTTCCACCAGTGAAAACTTGTAATTATAATTGCATGATGCTATATTTACACGCGATAAGACGAAAATCAACATTAACAATAAAACACACACAATCAATGTCGCTAACAATTATTACGAGCGTTAGTAGAAAAGATGGAAGTTTTACATTGTCATCAAGTACTAAGCAAGGGTTTACTTTTGAGGAAACCATGTAGGCTCGAACACACTACTAATGATAAAATGATTGTTCTATCACCAACTGACTAATATCAATGACTAATTCACACATTTAGCTCTCCAGGTGTACGGATAGGCAAGCATCAACAGACTGATACATTGGCTTGATATGTAGCGATCGATGGTGGATGAAAGGTAGCACAGTGAACTGCATCTATCAACCAGTACTAGTTACTTTAGTACTGTGGTTGCTAGTATTGAATTATGCTTACAATGTAAGTGTGAAAGCAATTGAAACCAGAGTGATTAGTAAACCTAATGAGAAGAATTGAAGAAGCCAGTAAATGTTCAAGTTTTCTTGCAATGAGAAGCGAAGAATGATTTTTTAGCAATGTAGCGGTTTCAGTGTTCGTAATGTTAAATATTGTTTATTCTGTACAGTCTTGAAGATTAAGTGGCTTGCGTGTTATCGTAACCAGGAGAGCTATGCTGGAATGACCAACCTAGACAGAAAGGTCAATTTGTAAGAGCTAAACAAAACCTTAGTCACCTAGGGGTGAAACCTCAATGGCAAAAAATGGAAGCAGAAAGCAGCTCCCGAGTTGCATACATAAGCAAGCCATAACAGGACTGATACATTGGTTTGATATGTAGAAACAGATGACGTTTGATAAGTGGCACAGTCAACTACAACGGTATCGATCAACCGATTCTGGTTACTAGCTGAATATTGAGGTTGTTAATAGTTGTGGCCACTTGGACTGAATTGCGTACTTATAATGTAAGTGTGAAAGCAACTAATAAACAACATGGCGGTCAAATCTAATTCTTCATGCCCCACTGACAAAGAAAAGAACAAAGTAGATAATGGTGTCCGAGTTCGCTCGAATTAAAAAAGATGGATTTACCCTAACCTTCTAAAAAATGACACGAATGATTACAGTGATTTTGCAATTTCATTATATTAATAAAATATCAAAACCTTTTTCCTTTGTTTAATAATAACTGAACATTAACACAGGTTCCGATGGGAAGAGGTGGGCATTGATCATTTAAACATTCCATACTACGTTCAAAACGAATCAACTATTAAAAAAATCATCGTCACTGCTTTCCTTCACGGGGCGAACGAGCTGATGATGAGGAGAGATATATTGATAACATACGTATTCGTAGTTGGAATAACAATGATCTCAAACAAGGAAATGAATATTCCAAGAAATATGGGTCAAGATAAAACAGGAACTATGATCTAGAATTGGAATGAAATCACCTACCATAAATCCATCATAAGAATACAGGATGTAGAATTAGTAAATAGTAAACACTACAAATACCTCGACGTATCGATCAGTTATAAGAAATTACTAAAGAAGCTAAAAAATTTAACATGCTGAATATTTTACATTTGAATTTTAGTATCTCCGATAACTGTTTGTTTTGTAGTGTATAAATATAATATCTGACAATAATTCAATATATTTATCAAACCATGCGATCCCAATGAGCGTTGTTCGTCAAATTTGGAGTTGGTCAATGAGATACATACTTTGATCATTTCCTGATATATAGATGGATAGATAGATAGATTTATTTATTTTGGAAGTAAGAATCATGACTGTACGGTGACTGTCAGTATTGGTTTGAAGATCGAATAGAAGTGTAAAACTGTCACACTGCACTTGATTCCTATATCCACACTTCCTATATTTAAAAACGGTCAATCTCCGATACTGAACATTCTTTCGCCTATAAACATAGCAAATTTAAAAACTATGTCTCTCCATATATATATATATGTGTGTGTGTGTATTGATCTAATAAGAAAGAACTGTTAGATTAATGATCCAAAGTTCTTTAGTATTTATGTTTTGTTTTTTTTTAAATAGTGCTCGATACAGAAGTAGGGCTTAAAATTATAATTATTTTTTTTCAATATGATTCCATCGCGACACAGAAATTACTGTTTCAAAACAGTAATTTGTGTGTCGCAACGGAATCATAGTTTTTAAAAAAAATAATTATAAAAAATATGTGTTTGTGTGGGTGTGTGGGTGTGTGAAGGAGTGATAACTAAGAAACCCTTTTTGAAAAAGATTGGATATTTGGTCATTTTGTGAGATAAGTCGGCTCGAAAACTTTTCAGTACTCACACATATACGCATGTGTGCGTGTGTGTGTGTGCGTGTATGTGTGCCGACGCGTGTGGAGTCAGTGCCGGCATAGGAACCAACACTGCTTGGAGGTCGTCAGTTTCACACCTTAAAGCGAGCTTCAAACTTGGTGTAAATATCGCTTTAGGGCCCTTTGTCCTATTTCCTATATAGAACACTATTTACCATTTAGCAAATTTTTATTGATTGATTGATTTTTTACAGCTTATCATCCCTTTGCAGTTTATTTACAACCTGAAAATATATTTAGATTGTAAGAGATTTTTGGAGATAATAATGATTTTCTGATACAAGTCTTACTAATTAACCCATAGATGGGAGGAGAAGAGGTGGATTCATGCCTTCCCTAATGGTATTTGCACGTAAGTGAATATAACGAACTTGACTGGAATTGGAACGCATCTCTTCGATCTACAGTAACTAGCCATCACCCATCACACCAACTGCTCATTAAAACTTACAGCACCTGTTTTTTTTTGGTTTTTTTTCCAAACGGTCACTCATCTAGTTACTAACCAGTCTCGAAGTTGCTTAACTTCGGTGATCGTATAAGAACCGATGTTTCAAAATTTTAAACAATATATATGTGCGTACCCGTGTGTGTAAGTATGTATATGCGTATGTTTATATTAACAAAAACGTGTGTATGTAGTGTTTAGGTATGCAAGTAAGTTCATTGTGATCTGCCCCCAAGACAACATATTGCGAACTCTGCTGGGATAAATTCGAGAAATTTAAACAATTTCAAACATCAGTGCCTGCTGTGTTTTGAAGATAAACCAGCAACTGAAATCTTTTTCGATGTCAGCCATCCTAGGGCCAGGAATATGCACAGATATACATAAGCATACGTACATACAAAAACAAAAAATATGCCTAAAACATGGATACTTGCATATTTACGAAACATCGAGGTAAATAAGTACATACATATATACTAAAGATTTAGGTAAATACGTACGGACATAGATAGATAGATAGATAGATAGATAGATAGATAGATAGATAGATAGATAGGCTGTGATATATAGATAAATAGAGAGTGAGAGAGATAGAAAGAGGTTGTGATAGATAGATAGATAGATAGATAGATAGATAGATAGATAGATAGATAGATAGATAGATAGATAGATAGGAATAGGCTGTGATACGTAGATAAATAGAGAGTGAGAGGTAGGAAGAGGTTGTGATAGATAGATAGATAGATAGATATAGGCTGTGATACGTAGATAAATAGAGAGTGAGAGAGATAGGAAGTGGCTGTGATAGATAGATAGATAGATAGATAGATAGATAGATAGATAGATAGATAGGAATAGGCTGTGATGCGTAGATAAATAGAGAGTGAGAGGTAGGAAGAGGTTGTGATAGATAGATAGATAGATAGATAGATAGATAGATAGATAGATAGATAGATAGGAATAGGCTGTGATACGTAGATAAATAGAGAGTGAGAGAGATAGGAAGTGGCTGTGATAGATAGATAGATAGATAGATAGATAGATAGATAGATAGATAGATAGATATGAAGGAATGTAGATATTATTTAACTGACGATAGAAATAGTAAAAACACATCACGCTGCCGTGCTTCTTTTTTTTTCTTTTTTTCTTTTTTTTGCTTTGAGGCGGTTGAAATAGACAATGTCGTTAGTGTGATCACTAAAATATTTTTATTCCGAAATGGTGCAGACGTGATTGCTGACTCACTAGGCCATATGCGACTGAATCTGTTAAATATCAGAGATAAACAAAAGAAAAGTACAGAAAAGAAAAGAAAAAGAAACATAGTCGTGTTTTCTCCCTTTGGGAGAAAGCTTAATGTAGAAGTTAGTTTGTACTTTAACACGGAAACTATTTTTAAAAAATCTAGTTGATTTTATTTTGAGAATGTATTGACGGATACAAGATCTGAATTTACAGAAATAAATATAAAAAAAAATATACGTGAAAGAAATGTTCTCCGAGATAACATAGAGACCTGTTAATGGGATTAATTTTTTTTCGCGAATATTCAACTTAGAAACAATGGTGTTTTTAATTTGTCGGTCTAATTCTTAGTGAAGGTTCAAAACATGGTGACTTGAAAACATCACAGGAACCGTTGATATTTCATTTAAAAACGAAAAAAGACAATTATTAAAATTTTTCAGGACACTTCGGCGTGGTGTAATAACTCTTAGAACCAAGTCTTGCGTTCGATCCTCCATGGCCTTATGGAATTTTAGATGCCTGTTCAATAGATAAACAAAGAAGAAGCGTACAAAAAATTGTTTTAACTGCAGACGTTCATTTTTTATGGTGACTGTAGTAGAAGAAATTTCTTAATGTCTCTTCGGTGTGTCCGTTTTTATTTTGGCCCAGGAGTTAGGGTAGGTAAGTATAAGTATCGTATTCATGGTCGAGCTCAAGTCAGCCTTGCACAGAGTGGGAACAAACAAAATAAATTTTCTACTTATTTTATCACTGGGAGATTTAAGCATGTTTATAGGATTTCCGTTTAAGGGGTGACCGTTTTCTTTATTTAGTCCAAAAGTTCGGGCAAGCTTCGTTACTATGGTCTCGCTCAAGTCAGCCTTGCGCTGAGTTGGAACAACCAAAGAGAATGCTTGACTTGCTTGATAGGTTTAGTTTTTTGAATTTTTTTCTAACAAAATTTTTGGAATACTTCTTTTGCTAATCCAATGTGGGTTTGGATTTCAATGTTGCATTTTTTTTCCACTGTTAAAAAGCTTCCCATATATTTGAACTTCTGCACGAACTGAAAACATTTGACATGCAAGGGTCTGCAAATTATCTCCTATGTGCTGCATCTATTTAGGACATAGACAAATATGACATTCCACAACTTCCTATCTCATCTGGTTCTTAGTAGTTTTTCTCCCCCTCCACATTCACTGTCCATTGACTCCAGCTCCTCAGCTAAGTTGTTCACTGTCTTCCGCTAACTGGCTTGCCCTCAATATGTCGAGTGAAGGTTAAGTTTTCCACGCCCTTCCTCATTATATGTCCAAGCAATTTCAGCTGTCTTTTCCCGAATGTGAGCATGAATGTTCTTTTCTTTAAGACTTCCTTATTGTTTACTCGCTTCGGCCATGGAATTTTCAGTATCCTTCGGTAAAGCCACATTTCTGCTGCTTCTAGTGAGGAGATTATCAAATATTTGCTGCCATATAAAAGGATGGATATCACATAGCAATCAAGCACACTTTTCTTTGTTTCTAGCCAAAGTTTTCCGTTTCTCAACACATTGCTTAACTTTTGGGGTGCTTCTTCCGTTAGGCTCATACGTGGTTGGATCTAGGAAACAGATTTTTCCATCCTCTTTTAAATCACTTCCTTGATATTTAGACGTCTGCCCCTGCTTTGTATTTATATCTCCAATTTGTAACTCTAATCTTGTTTTTTTTTTTTTCTTACTGATGATTGTTGCTGATAAACTCTGTCAAGCCCATATATGACAACAATATTCTATTTTTGCCTGATCTGACTCTTGTACACAGAGGGCATGACAGGCTCCATAACACAGATGATTAGACAAGGATTGGTATTTAAATGAATGCTTATCATTCATTCATTATGAAATGGACAAAGTCCGACAATTTTTTTAGACATTTTTATGTTTATACATTCTTTTTTATAGATACAAATATTTAAGTAAATAATAAACAGTATTAACAACATTTACCGGCCTGAATATCCGAAAAATTGTCACATAAAATATGCGTCCTCCGACAGGAATCGAACCTATATCCTATACGGGACCGTGATATAGCCAGACATGCTTTTATCGATTTCGCCACAGAGGAGCGTTTTGGTTAGCAAGGTCGATTTTACTGTTTTTAAACTACAATTCTCCATGATTTTCTCACGTACATTCATATCTGTGACAATTACTCGGCCATTCAGGCCGGTAAATGTTGTTAATACTGTTTATTATAAACAGATTATTTACTTAAATATTTGTATCTATAAAAAAGAATGTATAAGCATAAAAATGTCTTAAAAAATATCATTCATTGTCACACAATGGAAACCATGAATTTAAACAAAGATTAACAAAACAAATATCTTTTTAACATGATGCACAATAATACCAAAAATCTACATTATCGTCATTGCCAACATCATTACCATCATCAGGACTTTCAAGAAAAGCCAGTAAAGGAAACAAGTAGAAAGATGTAACCATTAATTATAAGAAGACCGATTTTTAGTTTTGCACTACAAAGCCACGAGATGTGAACAATGAATTGGATATGCCAATACCCAACAAGTACAGAACTTTAAATATCTGGGAAGTCTTTTACCAAAGGATGTGACACCGAAATCCGAAGGGGCATTGTAATAGCAAGAGAAGGGACAGAAGGCAGCGGGCTATTTAGCTGACATGTGTAAGTGGATAGTGGAAAGGCGGATTTGGAGTGTTGGCAAAAGGGCAAACGTTATTATGAGCTACAAAAGAAAGGAGGTTATTGAAAGCCATAATTAATCATGTCCTGGAGAGAAACGCAACACAGAAGAAGAATTATACGAAAATTCTACATTATCATCATTGTCAATATCATTACCAACATTACTGCCGTCCTGGGTATGACGTTAAACTGTATCCAACAGCAAGGCCTCTGATCAGGAGGTTTTGAAGAGCGTGGAACCACCTCTTAATTGCTGGTGTTCCCAGGTCCCAGCTATGGGCAAATAGTGAACTCTCAGTTTTTTCCAGACCTTACCCACGTCTGGGTATGACGATAAACTACATCCGAGTACTGGGTATGGCGATAAACTATATCCGCGTCCTAGGTATGGCGATAAACTACATCCGCGTCATGGGTATGACGATAAACTACGTCCAACAGCAAGGCCTCTGATAATGTTCTTGAGAAAAATAATATTGCCAGCTATACGTTTTTGAAAAAATAATGTTGCCAGTTATACGTTTAATAGTACTATATATTTAATATATATATATATATATATATATATATATATATATATATATAACTAGATTTGGCATTAAATGACCTAAAAATGAACTAAAGTGATTGATATGCCATAAAACCCAACCAACCAACATTACTGCCAGCATCATTGCCACAAAACAGTTCAATATGCACATGAGAGTAAATACTTGATCAGGGGTAAGCCTAAGATTCGAATCTTGGAAATATTTTTTATAATGAAATCGACTTTATTTCTTTCATTTCTTCTTTACAAAATGGTAAACTGAATCCGAGGGATTAATGGCGAAAGCATTTATGCCTGAGGGATCCACAATTTGCCAAATAGATGAGATTATAATTTCTGTTTAAATTTTGGAGATGAGGAGTTATTATTTACACAATTTATATTCGGACTATTGTCCTCATCTTTGTTGTGCCCTTCGACCTCCCTCAGGAGTATCTTGATCAGGGTAACCTACAGGGAATTTTGAACTAAACCCATTATTTAATTTATTTAATCTATTTATTTAATTTGTTATAGATAAACTGTTCTCGTTCCATGTCTTGGTACATTCGTTTTGTTTTTATCTAATACTGTTCACTTATTGCTCGCCCTGTTTCCAAATACACTCTGCCCTGAAATACAATCCTAAACAGGAAACAAGGGATATAACTCTATTCTTGTACACAAGAAAGCGATGGAGTGTGAACCGGACGATAGACAAACCTATAAATAGTAAATAAACATTCAGAGTTTACTCGAAGACATTGGAAGTATAGAGTTGAAGTAGACTTTAGATGGAACCGGAAACCCAATCCTAATCAGGAAACAAAAGATACGCCTCTGCTCTTGTTAAAAAGACCGGGTATGTGTTTAAACCAGACGATAGGCGAACCTATTAATATCCTCCTATTGAGAAAAAAAGTAAATAAATAGTAAATAAAAATTCAGAATTTTAGTGGAGACGTTAAAAGTATAGAGTTGAAGCAGACCCTAAACCCAATCATAAACAGCAGACAACTTTAAAAGTCTACTCCTGTATCGATAATTAGAGGAATTATAATCTTTATTAAATAAATTGGTTTATATCAAAGAAACATTTGTCTTATTTTTCATCTTCAAATGAGACAGTTTTTTCTTTCTAAACACATGATGAAGAGAATTTGAAACCAGAAGACAAGGATAATCTTGCAATATCTATGCCTTCAAAATCAACACAGAAACAAATACCTTCTTTGCCAATAATAACTGTTGATCTTTGATAGATGCATCTTACTTATTTAGGCTTTGTAGACAATAACAGAATGACGCAATTTTTAAACTTCTTTCTATGATTTTTCGGGTGGAATTTCCAAACTTTTGCAAAACACTGTAGGTTTGTTGACTACTATACATGAATACATACACAAGATCGGAATTGCGTGTAAGTATAGAAAATGTTTGTCTCAACGGTATTAACGTGCGTCAAGAATTAATAATGAAGCAGAGAATAGGGAGTTACTTGGAATTCTATTACCTCGAAATTACCATAACTGATTCGGGGAAACAATGGCTGATAGATAGATAGATAGATAGATAGATAGATAGGAAGGAAGGAAGGAAGGAAGGAAGGAAGGAAGGAAGGAAGGAGAATGTGAAAGATAGATAGATACATATATAGATAGCAAAAAAGGAAATAATGGGACTCTGATAGATAGATAGATAGATAGATAGATAGATAGATAGATAGATATCAACAAAATTGTGATAAAATGAAAGAACGAAGGAAAGAGAAAACTGATCAGGTTAAAAGGATACACATGATAAACATAACTTGCCACCTGGTATATTCCCTTTTGGGTAACAGCGCTTAGAGTCCAAACCAAAAATCATTATTTTGATAATGCTTTTTTTTTCCAACGGATAAAAACTTTCCACTTGAATTCTTGATGCAACTCAATTTTTCTACCCCTGACCTCCTTGTGTTTACTTTTATATTCAGTTTATTATATCGATTAGTTGGACAAATGCATTTCTATGACAATTGCGTCACATGAAAATGATTTGAACTTTCAAAATCGAGACCTCTTCTTTATTCTATGTTTGCCCTCTGAAAGGAGACGTCTTTTTACATCGTTGGATTGATGATCTAATATAAATATTCACTAATGTAATTACACTTTATTTTATCAGACGAATAAACATAAGCGTAAACAGACAAAACCACGAAGTAATGACAAGGAACATTATTATTATTAATGTCAACATCCTGGAAAGTATTTAAAATAGGTCATTTCTAGGTGTCGTCATGAGTTTTTAGTGTCCATCTGAATTAATATGACATTAATCGAGGAATCTAATGATAAGAGAACTTAATATTTAACAGTCGAAAGAAATACTGGCTGTAAATAATGGCCGCCTTAATCGCTGACTCTTGAAATAATTAATCTGTTAATACAGAAGATGGTTCAAGCTTAAAAAGGATTAATAAAATAGTTTTAAATTCAATGGGTAGTTATAAAAAAAGCCGTTTCCTAAACCATATACATCCAGTTTAAATGCACTCAGTGTTGAAATACAATCTTAATTGTATTTTCATTGTTTTTTTTATTGCTTTCCAAATCTTAAAGTAGTTAAGTATTAAGTGCATTAACAAATTGTCTGTCTGATTCCAAAAGGATGTAAGTTGACATTCTTTATTTTTATATGCTGTGTCCCATCATGACATAAGCGATCATGGCTCTCCACTTACCCCTATCCCTTGTAGCTCTCAATAAGTTTCATGCCTCTGACACCTCTACTAGACCACGTTCTGTCATCCACTTGCTTAAGCTCGCCAGGTATGTCATGCACTGTTTTCATTTGTTTCTCTTTTCCTCTATTCGACTTATGGGTATCAGATTCTCTAAGCCCTCCTTTCTTATTACATGTCCCAGAAATTTCAGGTGCCTCTTCCTGATGCTAAGTATAAGCTTCCTCCTAAAAGTATTATAACTATTTATACTGATACTCACGCATGCAGTTACAAATAATCTATAATAATATTTAAATTTTGAAATCATATTCATTTTTTACATATGATTGTTTTTATAACTGTTTCTAAATCTTTGTCTTTCAATCATTCCGCCTCACCTATTATCCACTCCTGCCTCATGTAAGAGGTGCCCTACACCGTTTGGAAATCACTAGTCTAAGGAATACTGGCTGTTAATAATGGCTGCCTTAATCGATGACTCTTGAAAAGCATTTTTCTGATTTTCAATGACAACATACAGACAGAATATCGAAATCTGTTCAATTGCAAAATCAATCAAATATTTTTCTTATTTGCAATATTTAATGCATTCATTCAGATAGTTTAACGTTAATCTAAGAGGTGGTAGAGTCTATAGGAATCTATAGGAAATGATAAAACAATGCCCATATATATATATATATATATATATATATATATATATATATATATATATATATATATAATGATAATAATAATAATAATAATCTTATAAATATAAGAAATTATACTGTCCGGAAAAACCTTGGGCATTTTGATATGTAAATAAACAGACCAATACCCAATGGAAAAAAAGGTACAAAAAAAGAAAGAACAGAGAAGACAATCGTCTATCATCCAAGTTCAGGGTCCAAAGAAAAAAAAACCGATACGAGCCAGTAAAATAACTAAGTAAAATGCTCAATACGCTAAGTAGAGTAAACTTAATTAAACCTAAAGAGCCAGACAAACCTACCAAGATTTCACCTACGCGGATCGTTAGGGCGTATTCCCTGACGATCCGAGTAAGTGAAACCTTGGTAGGTTTATCTGGCTCTTTAGGTTTAATTATATATATATATATATATATATATATATATATATATATATATATATTAAAGTGTAGGGAGAGAACGAACAGTAGGATTAGAACGTTCACAACATTAATTTAAAAATAGTGCTCAATACATAAAAATAGAGCCGTAACATTGTGATTCTCCACCTGATGAGACGTCTAAAAAGGTTTTCCCCTTTTTTGACGTAGAAACAAAAATGTACAATCTTGTAGTGGATATGTGCATGTTCTATTGTAACACTGTAAAATAAATATATATATATATATATATATATATATATATATATATATATATATATATATATATATACAGAGTCACTTATATAATTTGGGAGTAAGATTGATGCAAATGCATGCCTGGATAACGAAATAACAAATCAGATCTATGACCAAAGCTACAAGTGCATTTGGGAAACATCGCCACTACCAATGGAATGAGCGAAGTAATCAAATTAGACACTAAGATACTGGTTTATAGAACAAACATTTTGACCACACAGTTGTACGATTCAGAATAGTAGTCCCATAGCAATGAGCTGAATGACTTCCACAAAATCTGTGGCTATACTTTTGACAATAAGAAGTCCAATGCTTATCTTCTCGCAAAATGCAACATTGGTGGAATTGAGACTTTCCTAACGCAGTTACAACTTCGCTGGGCTGGTCATATTGCAACGATGATTTACGACAGAATATCTAACGTCCTCATGTATAGCCAGCTTCACAGTGGACAAAGGAATGTTGAACGGCTGTGGCTCAGGTAACCTTTCAGCTGCCAATGTGCCACATACTAACTTCACGTGAATTGCCCTGGATAGAAATAACTGGAGATGTTTGTACTAGTGTGGTACAAGAAATTTTTAAATCAATCGTCATTAGAAGTAATGTGGATTTCCTTATTTCTCGCTTGGTCCTTTATTCTCATAACAACAAAATAAAATCCGGTATTAGCATTGGATTCTACTTATTTGCAGCCCTCAATATTTACACGAAATGGAGAAATATATTGAAAATATATTCAAGACCCTTCAATACAGTAACTATTTCATATTCAATGCAAAACAAAAGGTTCGTAAAATATTGCCAAATAGAACAGCTGTACTTCCTGAAAAAAAAACCAACGAACCAAAAAATATATTATTCTATCCACTAATTCTGTCACAATTACAACCGAAAAGATTTTAGCTAAACCCAACATAAAATTTGTCACAACTTCATCTAAAACAATTAACAAAAAACAAAACAACAAGAAAAAACTTGGAGGAAAAATTTACTCAAAGATAATTCTATAATTACCAGAAGGAATATATTGGAGAAATCTCAAGAAGGTTAACTAAAAAACTATATGAAGACAAAAGAGACACTTTAAAAAACAACACACAAAATCCAATGGTTGTTCAACTTAACGTAACTAACCACAGTTTTGACAAACTAAAATGTTACTCTAATTAAAAGAGATAATAATTTACTAAGTCGTAAATGTCTAGAAAGTGCTTTAATTACTAGTTCAACCACTGTAAATTTACGTCCAGGCTCTTACAACGTATCACGATTCTCGGGATAGATAAAACAAAGATGATGGGAAGAAAAACAATATAGAGTAATTTGGCTAGATTGAAAAAAAATTCTTTCAAAATTTTGAAACTACCAGCGTCTCCCGTTCATGTAGATATGTAGTCAGAACAAGGTCAACAAACCCAGTCCGATGAAGCCATGATGAATGAAACTTTTTCCTTTTGATTACAATTTCCCCAAAACTGTTCTTGATATATAAAATATATAATATATATCATTATATATATATATATATATATATATATATATAATCCATTTTTATGTTTATACATTCGTTATATATATACATATTAACTGATTTAAAATATGGTTTCATCGCTACATAAGAATTTCCATGTTTCAAAAACAGAAACTAAAAACTTCAAATTCAATTATATAATCAAATCAAAAGCTTTAGTTGTTTCATCTTCAAGTAAATTTTGGAATTTTGTAGGCTTTTGTTTTAAAAAAATATATATAAAAAGCAACAACTTACTTAAAACGAAAAACATACAGCCATGGTGACGGTTGACGACAACCGAAAGCCGTCGGCAACCCACCAAAGACTGGGGCCTTTTTTTTTCAACAACTTAGATCCAAATACAAAGAAACTTGCTAGAAAGCAAGAAAAAATCAAAAGGAAGATTAATTAGCGAAAAAGTTCCGTAGTCATCTGTAACACATGCTTCAATAATGACTAGCTACCAATATATATATATATATATATATATATATATATATATATATATATATATATATATATATGAAAAAATTTTGGAAAAAACAAAACAAAAATCCTTAAATGCAATTATGTTGTTTAAAATGAATGAAATGTCGACGGCTGACGTTTCGGTTTTAATAAACCTTCTTCGGGACAATATTCATTAAAATACAATTCAGTTCAATTTGACAAAGACGGATATAAAAAACATTTACATTTGCTTACATATATATATATATATATATATATATATATATATATATATATATATATATATATATATATGCATGCATGTATAAACGATTAAATATTGAAATATAATTCAAATTAAATATAGATTATTGCCGATTTTTAATGCAGTGCTTAATATTGTAAAATCAGAGCCATGTATATTCTAAATGTTATCTTTTGGAGATCTTAATAAAAAAAACATGACAGGCATACGCGTAACTAAAAGATTCAAAATAACAGAACCGATCTTCAGGTGCTTAAATTTAAGACAAGCTTAATTTTATGCAGTTTTTGATCGAATTTACCCCAGGCAAAGCATTAAAGCCACTAAGACACAAGGGTTAGTGGGTTTAAAAGAAATAAAGAACAGAAAACGCTATGAAGGAACGCGAACAACAGAAGAGTAATCAGGAAGGAAGTAAATTGAGATTGCATTTAAATTTTTGAGGATCAAAATTACCCGGAAAGCTGGTAAAGAATTCCTCAAGCGAGAAGTGCGAGGAAAGAAACAGCATATAATTTACGGTTACATTTAGCCAATTCAACTGTCATTTGATGAGGCCTTGTTGCCAATCTAGTAATTCGCTTAAATCTATAAATCTAGTTACCATAGCGAAAGATCCGAACAATTACCATGAAAGTATTTATTAAAAAAAAAAGGCACAGGAAAGCAACTTTACGGTGATGGTAAAGTGACTGAAGCCGAGTCTCCAGATCAGGACCAATAATATTACTGATTATCCTTTGGCACGAAAATATATGCATCATTCTGCCTGCGCTTAAAATGATTACGCTAAATCATTAAGTTGGTAGCCTATTGATGACAGAGTATTTATTATACTACACAAAAAAATTCTCAGAATAATTCCCTTCCTTTCATTTATCACAAAGATTTTCCATTAATCACATAGATCTAGTATTATACTATGAGTATTTCAGATCAAAATTCAGCTAATATTTGTCGGTAGGCTAAGTTATTTCGCCATCCTCATTGAAATGTTCCTATTCAATGAGGATTTAGCAGTTTAAACGAAAATTTATATAATTTTACTTTATTTATTTTTTTTTTTTTGTCATTTCTGTTTCTTTTCAGAGAATTTATTCAACCTCTACAGCGATGCTCTCCTGCTCCTGTGAGAACTGGAGACCCTACCAGGATTTAATATCAGTGGGCGTAAGTTTAACAATATAAGGTACGCAGATGACAGTGTTGATGGCTAACACAGAAGGGAAACATACAGGACTTCTAAGAAAAGCCAGTAAAGGAAAACAAGTAGAAAGAAGTAACCATCAATTGTAAGAAGACGAAATTTTATGGTTGGCAACAAAAAAAAAGCCACGAGATGCGAACAACGAATTGGATATGTCAATATCAAATAAGTACAGAAGTTTAAATATCTGGGATGCCATTTACTAAAGGATGGAAAATATGACTCCGAAATCCGAAGGGGCATTGGAATAGCACTAGATCCATTCCAAAGACAAAACAACGTATTAAGAAACAGGAAAATTTATTTAAAAACAAAAAGTAGTTGTATCAATCATCAAATGTAATAAATGCTGGACAATTTCCTCACTGTTAAAAATAAGAATTAAAGCAACAGAAATATTGTTCTAAAGAAGGATGCTGAGTATTCCATGGACGAAGCGCGCAAAGAAATAGAAACCCTTAAGAAAAATGCAAATAAAAAAGACAATTTTCAGAAAGAGAGATCTGAAATTTATTGGATGCATAATGAGGAAGGATGGCTTGGAGAATTTAGCACTCACATGGCGAAGGAACAGGAGAAGGCATCGGGCTATTTGTCTTTTTTGTGTGAATGGATAACGGAACTGCAGATTGGGACTGATGGTAAAATTACAAACATTATTATGCGCTACAAAGGATAGGAGGTCATGGAGAGCCACAATTGTTCCCGTCCTGAAAAGACACGGTACCCAGAAGAAGAAGAAGAAGAAATCTGTATCATGCGCTAATGTGAAAATCAACGTTTAATTTCTATAAAAAAAAAATATCTGTATTCTTATTTGCTTTATTTTACATTCGGAGTAACATCCTCATCTTTGTTTCGGTCGTTTTGTCTCCGACCTTCTATAGGTGTTTCTCCAACCGGGTAACCTTCAGGCAATTTCGAAAACGAATCCTTTGCTTAATCCATTTCGGTAGATTGTTCTCGTTAGTTCTACATTATCGAATCAGGTACCAACCCAATATGATATGCTAAAGTAGACTTTCGGAAAAGCGCCATCCAAAATTGACACTGATTTCAAAACCACCTGACATTCTTATACAGATTTAGTGACGTAAAACGAGCCTCATCAGGTTTATCAATCGAGATACCAGTTTGAGAAGAAAAACAGCCGTTGAAAGAATGCTCAGCTTCAATGGGAAATAGCCGAGTAAACAAGGACATTCTTTAGTAGTATAATGCTCGACACAGAAAAAACACAAGGATTCCGACAAGGAGCCTGGATCAATCGTATGAGGAGGAATTTGAATGGTTCAAATTTTCGCCAAATTACGAAAGTTCGAGTAAATGAAAGAACGAAGTAGGAGTAGCAATAATTCCTACTGAAAACCAGTAAGATCAGTTACCAATAGCAACCATAGTTCCGACGTAAATACTGTAAACAAACGATTCCTCATCGCCGAAATTAAGACAGAATCTGAACTAAACGCAAATGTCTGCCCGATTATATAATTTCCTACAATGTAACTGTTACTTCCACTCCGGCAAGGGACAGCACGCAAATTAGTTTTCAAATAATGTCCCCCGCGGCATAATTAATTTGTTTCATGGATTTTTTCGCCTCAGAAATGTTGCATTCTCACGTTCATTTTATTTTGAAAAATTCCCACCGGCATGGTTATTCCAGACGGCACTGATATTTGATACAAATTAATATAAGATTTCTTATAGCCAGGAAGAAAAGTAGAAGGCACATATTAAGTTTTGCGACATGAATCTATGAAATATCTATCTATATTTCTGAGATGAGGTATTATGTACATTATTTACATTATTCGGACTATTGTCCTCATCTTTGTCGCCATATTTATTACAACGTTTCGGCCGTTGTACGCTCCGGCCTTCTTCAGGTGGTTGGAATGTCGAACTGAACCCTTTATTTCGCTCACTGGGGTAGAAAAGTATCTGCGAATCTGACACACTGCATGATCCACGGAATTCCCGACATATCATCTGTGGATACAATATCTTATTAAATGCGAAAAGGAGGGGAATATATTCTACCCCATTTTATACACGGGGGTATAAATTATGGTTGTGTAGTTATTACCTTAGTAATAAAAGAACCTAACCTAGAATAACCCCAGGCACACTCCAGCATTTGTATTTAGGGAACTTTCATTACAAACAAAGAAATGAGTACTGAACCGTTTAATGATATAAGTCCTCCTATAATGGCAGTGAATTCTGGACAATCTTTCCAAACATTTCAAGACTTGAAGCAAAAAGAGATGTGAGTCTAGAGAAGCATACTGGAAATGCCATGTGAGTAACGACGTATTTTTAGAGAAAATGAAAAATGAAACAACTCTTAAACTTAACATCAGGAAGATACAGTTGAAATTTCTAGGGCACATAATGCGGAAAGAGGGCTTGGAAAATATGATACGCACAGGAAAGATTGAAGACAAGATGGACAGTGGAAGACAACGCATGACCTACCAAACGATCTTGAGTATATGGATGGCAGAACAGGGTTTAGGAGAATTTTTTTTTAATTATTAAGAGCGAAAAAAGACAGGAAATTTTGGAGAGCCGTAATCGCCTACGCTCTGAAGAGACACGTCACATAGAAGAAATTACCTGAAGATTTTTTTCTTTTTTTTCTGATTTTATTTTTCACGTCTTTTGCAGGTTATTTACACCCAGAAAATATTTTTAGATTGTCAAAATTTGGGGCAGATAATACTGACTTAGTGATACAAGTCTTGCTAATTAACCCATATCTGGGGAGAGAAAAGATGGACTCATACCTTTCCAAATGAGTATTTGCGCATTAATGAATCTGACTGGAATTGAAACTTGACACTCCGATTTCTAATTCCGAGCAGTTATCTATTACACCACCCGCACATCAAAATCTTTCCTAGTATTCCCAAGCGGTTGCCCGTCTAGGTAAATGACCAGGCTCAACGCTGCTTAACTTCTGTGATCGCACGGTAACCATTGTTTCAATGTGATATGACCCTAAGACTACCAATACTAGGCTCGAAAGCCACTCAAAGTAAAGGGTTACACTTGAAACAACGATGGTGAATGAATGTATCTATTTCTGAAATGAAGTATTATAATTATTTATACTACTTACATTGTTCGGACTGTTGTCCTTATCTTTGTTGGCGTATTCTTGATGTTTCCGGCCTTCTTCGGGTGACTGGAATTTCAAACCGAACCCTTTATTTCGTCCACCGGAGTAGATTATTCTAATTCCAGGTGCCATACCTATTCCACGTATCTCAGTATCAGTAATCTCCATTTTAAATCAAACCCGCAAAATTTTCTGCACTTCTGCTGTAGCTAGGTATTGAACTCACAACTTTTTGGGTCAAGTCACTGGATTCGACCTATGTTTTTTTATCCACTGGGCAATGTGCCCTTGAGGAACTAGAACAATCTTTCTCGGTGGTTCAAAATTTTAATCGCCTGAAGGTGAGAACGTACAACGGTTGAAACGTCATGATTATGGCAACAGTCCGAACTATGTAAATACAGTAATTAATGATGGAGGAGTTGTATGATATGAATAGAAGATAAGATGTGTAGGAAGTAGAGATTATGAGAATAAGGCGGGTAAACTGACCCTTGACTTAAAGAGGTTCAAGGTGACACACATGCGGGTGTATGCTCCACACTGTATGTATTTATCACTATTTAACCTTTCATCATTCTAAGCTTAATTATTTTTTAAATGTTAAATGACGTATGTGCAAGATATTAACAAGTGTTGATTCTTTGTTTTTGCTTATGCAAAATGTATGTAAATACGTTGAATATTTTCTCTGAAAATCTCCATTTCGTTCTTTGCTTTTAGTTCGCAGAAAAATATGGAAAGTGATATATTTTCTTCCCACCATTAGCAAAAAGGAAAACGGTATTCCTAAGCATTAAAGCTTGAATGATTACAGCCGACAATTGTTTTCGATTAGGAGAGACTTTCGTTTAACTCCAAACTGTCGAACAGCAATTCAGTTCTTGATCGAATACCGGAGCAAATTTCCATGTAGAGTTTTGTTTTTCCTGTTAAAACGGTGACGCCAGTATTCTTTCTTATTCCTAGATTTATGTGATTTCCTTTATCGCTTTGTGCAATGTACCAACAGCCAAAGGGTATCTGGTTCCCCAGTGTCGCGTTAGGCGTTCTTTATCCTTTACAAATGCAATCAGAATTAGGCACATATTAGTTGATATGAACAAACGCTGCAAACTAAAGAAAAAAAGAAATGAAGCAGAAACGTACAGAACATAGAGTTAAATTCGTTTAAAATTACTCTCTTGTTTTCTTTTGGGGGGAGTGCTAATAAAATATTTAAATTAGGACAATATCGTTGACGTGGATATGCAGGAGATATAATAGCTAGCGGCTCAGGACGATAAACCGGTGAGACGATTTCGAATTCTAGACAAGTTCGTTACATTCACTTTAGTGCAGATACCCTTGGCAAAGCTATGAATCGATCTTTTCCGACCGCAACTATGGGTTAAATAGTAAGGCAAACTGAAATCTCTGGCCGTGGTTGGCAACCAGTTTAGGAGAAGGAAAACTTTGAATTCTAAACCGTACGTAGTTCTGGCGTGCACTTGCTATATGCCCATCGTCAAGATCATAGAATCGGAATACTCCATAATCTTGACTGCGCCGATGTGTTATTAATAGTAGTGTTATCTAAATTCAAGATGATATCACTACTTTCATGGTTCGGCCATTTAAAGAAAATAACTATTTCAATATCCCTACAGGATGTAGGTAGTCATGGCTCTCCACTGACAGCTTGCCCGAAGAAGAAAAAGAAGGTGAAGAAATTGATGATGATGATTATGATGATGACGATCTTCATTGATTGAAGTGCTAAAATGTACGTGTTTTTTCTTTGTGAATTAAAATGAGCTACAGTAAATATCCCGTTCAGTACCTCAGATTTGCTTGCCGATTACCTAACCATAACCAGTTAAGCACCCCCCTAGGGGATGGTGCACTGTGCACCTCCATACATGAACGGAATTAGCGGGGTTGGTCGGACGTCGAGAGTTTTGTTTTTTTTTTTTAATTTGAAGAATGCGGCAGTCAAGGCGACTTGGGAGTCACATCTAGATAATTGGGAACACCATCAATCAGAGACAGCATGAACTGAAAAGGTTAACCAATATGAAGGTATTTCTAGCTGCCCCCACCCCCTGCAAGTTTATGTGCTGCTTTTAACAAATCCTCTTAGAATGTCGCCTAATTTTGGCATGGTCAATGCCTGAAATACTCTCATTAGATTGGGTGTTATGGTGACTATATTAGGTTCTGTATGTTGGTACCCTCGAATCAGTTTTTTGGCGCGTTGTTGATCTTTAATACCATCCAGACCCGGTTACGGAGATAGGACCTGTTACAATTCTATGGGACTACACAATACACACTGACATAACAATCAAGGCCAATCGGCCAGATATTGTTATTAAAGACCACAAACGAAAACGATGCCTCCTTATTGATCTGGCAGCCCCTGCTGACTGCAATGTATCTTTGAAGATATTCAAAAAGTTGTCAAAATACAAGGACCTTGAAATAGAAAGCTCGAAAATGTGGCATATGGGAACATCAACAATCCCTGTTGTAGTTGGAGCCCTGGGACTGGTTGGAAAAGATTCCAGTAGACTAATTGAAGGGATTCCTGGAAGTCCATGCCTCAAAGAGATACAAAAATTGTTCTGACGAGTACAACCCATACTTTACGAAGGGCTTTATCTATGTAATTTTTTTTTTTTTTTTTTTTTTGGCAGTGGAAAGTGTCATGACGCCATTTCTAACCTTAGGTCCCTGGGCGGGACCCGGAAAGAAATGTGCAAACGCCAGAAATCAAAGAAAATAAAAATAATGATAATAATAATAACAAAATTGAAACCACTAAGAGATGGTATTAGCATCAACCAGACACAACACCAAGCAAAATAACGATGTAACTATCCTCTGGAAAATGTCAATTCAAACTAACAGGAATATAAAAGCCAACAGACCTGATATTATCATAAAAGACAAGAAATTCAGGAAGTGTATGCTTATCGACATATCAGTACCATCTGAGAGGAACACCTCCATTTAAATTATCGAGAAATTGTCCAAATACAAGAACATGAATATCGAGATTAACAGGGTGTGAGGAATGATGACTGAGACTGTA